GTAATCAAAAAGCTGCATCAATTGTCGACGAATTCATCACAGCAAAGCTTACACCAAGAAAACACAAGATCTTGCGGACAGCCCCTATCAGCACGTCAGGATCCGAGAAAGCTTGTAGAAAATTGCTTGCAGATGCTGGAATAGCGAAGGTTGCAGAAAATAGGAGGGAAAGGCAGTTTAAGGAACTCAAATACACCACTAAAATCAAGGCATTAAAGGTGGTTGAACTCACCAATGACATAGAATGGGCAAGAAACCCAAAGACAACTATCGCGCAGCTGGCAGCCTAAGCCTCAGCTAAATGCATATAGGCTCCAAGATGCATTGGTTCCTCTCAGCAGTCCATCAGCAAAAGTCCGTTATGCTCCGGAGAGCCAAGAGTGGCTGGAGCATGTGGGAGACACAATAGCAGATCAAGCACTCCTGGAGCCAATAGTGTTCTCCTGGGAGGGGGTTCAGGAGCAGCTGGGAGTGGTGAGGAGTATGCAATGGAACAGGAGCAGTGGGAGGTATGTGAGGGGGTAAGCAGGGGATAACGTGAGGGGAAAATGAGGGGAAGAATGAGGGGGAAATGAGGGGGAAAATGAGGGGGGAATGAGGGGGGGAATGAGGGGGGAATGAGGGGGGGAATGAGGGGGGAATGAGGGGGAGAATGAAGGGGAGAATGAGGGGGGAAATAGGGGGAAATGAGGAAAAATTGAAAATAGGGTTTCTAAGAAAAATAATTAGGGAAAAATCAAAATATTGAGGAATTATAGTGCCTTTGAAGAGCTTTCAGGATATATAATAATTTGTGAAATTGAGGAAGGAATGATGGAGAAAAATGGAAAATACTTTCTGAGACACGAGAAATAATGAGAACTGAATTGCTGGGAAAGTCTGAAAATTGTGTAGACAAGCAAGGGGATGCCTTGTAGCATTGTGATTTTCTGCTGTTGTGATTTTTCCTGATTATTTTTGGTCTTTACTGATTTTTCCCAAATTTTCCTTTTCCTTTTTTTTTTCTTTTTTTAAAAAAAAAATCCCCTCAGTCACCCCTTTCCCTCCTCTGCTCCTGTTCTGTGTCACAACAGGCATGCCTGCCTCACATGCTCCCACCACTCCCAGTTGCTCCTGGAAGCTCCTGGATACTCCTGGACCCTTCTGGATACTCCCAGGAGTATCCAGGAGCTTGTTGGAGTAGCTGGGAGTGGTGGGGGGGTATGTGAGGCAGGCATGCCTGTTGTGACACAGAACAGGAGCAGGACTAGATATTATATCTGGGGGTATTTACTAAGGATTTACAGTGTACATATATAGGAAAGGAAACTGAGTCTGGAGGTAAACAAACTGTCATATCCATATCAACTCTGCTCAACTGTCAGAAACAGTATTCGAGTATTCATGGGAAGTGGAGCGGAGTGTGGCGGCGTGAGTGGACACCTAGCTAATATGCTACTCTGTTGCAAGGCATCATGGGGGTTGGGACTTCAGCTTCAACGACTTAGCTGGAGCATTGTGCCACATGTTCTAGGCTGTCCCATATTTCAAGTTAGTGGGAGGGACCTTGCAGCAATGTTGACTCAGGTAGGAATGAAGCTTAAAGGTGAAACTAAGACAAGAGTACTGTACCTACATGACTGGGAGCCTGTCACATGTCATGCTGGCCTTGCAGCATGGCTCAAATTGGTCCTTTGTCATGCATCACACTGGGTCTGAGGCTCTGGGTCCCTCATCACACTGTGAGTACGGTTTCAGGGTAGCTGTGACATTTTCAATTTCCAAAAAAGGCAATCATACTTCATGAATTAAAAATGAAAAATCGCCATTTGACACTTTTCGCGGATTTTTGCAAGAGGGGAATTTTCGAATGTTCAAATTTAGAAATATATGCTGCCTGCTTATTTTGTTGTGCAGGAAAATGCCAACTCATGTGTCATGCCTCTGGAGATGTGTCACGCCTTGAAGGGCTGCTTGTGGCAGGCTCTCCCTTGTCATGCTCAAACCCGAGGTGGCTCCCGGTCATGTAGGTACAGTACTTTGGGGGGATTTCTAGTTGATATTTGAACTGAGGTACATCGACAGTAAACTACAAGTATAAGTATGAAAGGAGAACAGAGAAGGGGCTGGTTGGTCTGGTGCGGGATGGGAGCGGAATGGTAAGTGCAAAAAAACTAAAAGAGCGATGGGGACTGGGGAAATGAATGAATGGGAGTGAAGAGTGAATGGACAAAGGACGGTGAAGTTGGGAGGCAGACTGAATAGGGCCGACAATCTAGACACCAATATAGTAGCGGATCAAATGTCAATATAGGAATAAACCAAATGTCAATGTAGGAGCGGATCAGTGGTGACAATATTGACCACTAGTAAGTTAAGCGAATGAAATAAGAATAAAATGGTATACTTGGCCATAAGTGAATCAGGTGCAGCCGAATGGCTGAGGAACTAAAGTGGTGGCAGGAAAGGAGGAGGCACCACTATGGGGCCATAGATGGGAACCACTATCAGTGCTGCTGCACGATGGACAACAGCACAAATAATGGGTGCAAGAATGGTGGTGGGGTGCAGGTGATGGAAGTGGTAAAGGCAGGGACTTTGCAGGGCCATGACATCAACCTCCAACCTACTCTGCTGCTGTTCCAGCCACTTTCCAGTTCAAATGCACATCAGTCCACACTAGCAGTGGTCCCAGTAACCTAGTTGATAACAAGAGTGAGGGATAAACCCACTTGCTGCACTCCTGTATATACATAGAGACTGTATAGACTACCTAATCAATACAGTGGAGCTCAGATCAAATCAGATCAGCTAGATTGGGCTGATTGGAAACATCAAGGTGACCAGATCTCTCTGGATCAGAGCAGAATGATGGAGATTGGACCAATTTCCCACATGCTACTGTTTGCACAGACCCACCCCCTGTCATGACCCGGTGTTCCCCAGAGTCAGACGACCTCCTCCCCGATCTTTTCCCATGCCTGAACACTCCCTGCACACTCCGCTTGCCACCTGTTGCCATCTAACCACTCCCCACCACATCTTAATGTTCCCTCCCCTAATTGTCATTGAATGACCTAGCAGCACAGAGCACTGCGACCTCTTGTTCCATGTTTCGCCTCACCTTGTTATCTCATGGTGAAGGTCACAGTTGACCTTTGCTGTCTTAACCATGTGCTTCTTTCTTTGTTTTCTTCTTTGTTTTCTCTGCCTGCAATCTCCATGAGATCTGGCAACTTACTTTCTATTCAGTTTTCTAGTGCTTATATACAGCTTGTACCTATTGCTTGTACTTGTTAGAGACCAGAAGCAAGACGAAGGAGTTGTCTCCATGGTGGAGGGCTTTGGCCTCAGCAACTCAGCCCAGGAGTGCTGTGCCTAGTTACACATCTGTGCCCTAATTTACTTACTGGCAGTGAGAACTAAAAGGGGGATCAACTCTAGTTGATTTTATCACTAGGGTGTAACCTATGTACAAGTTAAGTATATATAGTTACAGTGAGGGCGGGCCCGTAATGGCGGGACCGAGCAGAGTGGAGCTAACGGAGTTAAACATTAGCTGATTGAATATTACTGACAAGTTGAGTTACGGGGTTAGTGGAGTGGTGGGCTATAACCCAGAAACAGAAAGGAGGGATAGGCCTGAAGGTAGACTTGCAGGGCAAGCAAGTGTATTGCCCAGTGGGGGTGGGAGTGCACTAGCAGATGTCAGAGCTGTCTGGAGGCCTTCGGGGTTCTGTACTTAGGGAGGCATAGGTAATATATTGAAAAGAGGGGGTGGTGACCATCAAGGGAGTTGGAGGTGATTGCGGAATACGGGGGCTCCGAGGTTAGTGAAGAAGGAGCAGAGGTAGTCTGGGAGGATCGGAGGTAGTGGAGGGTGATGGCCGTAGATGGATATGACAGTACTGTAGTTCAAAATCAACTAGAACATCCCCCCTAGCTTGCTTCTGTCCCCTGTAAGACCTCTGCCATCTGAAGTATTGGGACTGCATCAAGAACAAGGTGCAATGCTCCTCCCTGAGTTGTTGAAGCCAAAATCCCAGCCCACTTGCCTAGCAACCTTGGCCTCAAGATCGGTGAGGTTGATCCTCACTAAAGCTTGTCATGAATGGGAAGCCTTCATTACTAGCAGCTATGTATGGTCACCGATGGCTACTATCAGCAAGACTTCGCACGGTTCTGACACCCCCTCCACTCACCTTAGACAAATAATGTTTCTATCACCCCTCAATTACTATGGATCTCTGAGGACCTCTGCCAACCCTGCAAAGGATTTTCCATTGATCCAATATTAGTTCCTGCCGCTAATGCCACCCTTCATGAACCCACTCCACAAACCCAAATAAGGCAATTCTCTCATAACCTCACTGACCTGGCTTGTGGTTAACATTCATCTTAGGTTTCAGTTTCCACATTAGTTTTTACATATATAGCTCATGTACCCAAGTTGATGGCACCTTAGTGCAAAATCAATGACTGATAATCCCCCCAGAGTTTGCGCCCCTCCTTTCTGAAGTTAAGGGCCACACACTGGCATATGGAACATAGGCACAGTGCTCTGCTCTGAGTCACTGAGACCAAGGCCCCTCCACTTGTCCTCTCCCTCCATCCTCATTCCAGGGCCCAGCAGTATCTACACTAGGTTTTTGGGTGATAACTAAGACTCAAATGGCATCAACCAGAGGGGGCAGAGTTGAAAGTGGTGGATATGAGAATTGTCTGGAGCTGGGACAGATATGGGATGGAAGGTCTGGGATATGACAGTTAGTAGATGCACAAACAAGACTGCAACAAAAAACTTGGGCATTTCTCTACATTTTATGGTAACATTGTGTACCTTTGCATTTATGAAGGCACTTTTTGGTCCCTTGGACATCAAGCAAACAGCTGATAGTCCAAGTGGCCACCAAAACAATTGAGATAAAATACATTAAAGAGGTCAAGTGGTGAGCCATTTCCATCCACATTTTGATCCCCCCTCAGTGTGCCATCCCAGAATGATTCACCTAGTACAGGGGCTAGTTCACAAGTGAACTTAATGTCCACAAGATGAACAATCCCTGTGGCTTGCTGACAACCCACATCTTCTGCACAGTCCTAAGCTTTGAGTGTGGAAGGGGAGATGAAATAGGTTCAAACCACAAGACAAAGGCATAAATGTCATCAATGGCACACTTATTACCTTTGTTAGGGAGAGAGATAGTGGATGGGTGAAATGTTTCATATTGCTCCAGATATTTGGAAAATGGGGAAAATAGAAAGCAGATCTGGGCAACACGATAGCCTGTTAGGATGTGAATTCAGTATCAGAGAAATAACATAAATAAGAGGCACACACGTTTCAAGCCACTTTGCTGAGGTTCTATTTCAACAACAACAGGGTCAAAAATCACAGGTTTTCCTTTGAATCCAGGATTGCAATGAAGAGTTTGTATCTCCTGCTCATAGTGTTTGTTAGGGGCAGGGGCCCCAAGTTTGAAAGAAAACCAAGTGTAAAGCCATTCCAAGTACTCTGGTACTTCATGCTGCTGATGAACTTGACGCTGGGTTCTGTGTGATGTTCCATGCTTTCTGTGAACAAAAAACCAGACAAATGGTGAAATGACATCAACTCCAGGCATTAGATGAATGATTTCGCCAATGCTGTGGATATCATCAAGGTATCGATAGGTGGAGTACCTATAGATAACACCTCCCAGTGAATCAGTGGTCAAGGTGTTGTCCCTACCATTTGTACCAATATCAATATCCCCATCCCTACCACTGGCAACAGCACTATTGTGTTCACCACTGCTGTCATCTGCATTGCCATCCCTGTCACCATCACTAGCATGCTGATCTTGAATGCCAGAGGGATTCAGGGGTATGGTATACTGAATGTATTGAGAAAACAACTGCACAGATTCAACATGCTTGAGTATGCGGATAATCTGAGACTTAAACTGTCTCCGATTTGTTAGTGGATATGCAGCTTTGACAAATTGGTGGAGGGTTTCCATAGTTTCTGTTGAAAGGCTATCCAGTGCCCCCAGGTGTTTTATGTCTGATACTGCATGGCGAAGGTAATGCATCTTGGGGATTTTCATGTGGGGTGGGTCTCATGAGCCATTTGATATGAAAATTTGATAGTTTTGGTAGAAGATTGCAAGGTCTTTCTCCAAGAGATCAAGGCTCGCATCTGAGTGTGCTGGAAACTGGACCTTGTAGGAGAAATCAAGGAATGCACGCACAGCCTTTTGGACTTGGGGAACAGTGTTGGGATGCCCAAGAATGGCTGGCAAGATATGGCGTTGGAGGTCACGATGTTCGCGGCCAGAGAGCTGTGATAGATGGGAAACCCCATGACCAAAGTTGCGCCTCCCAATCAAATGTGGCTGGGCCATCAGCCCCTTATCCACATCATCCTCTCCAATTGTCTCCTTAATCCAACTGAAAAGGTGATCATAGAAGCCCTTGTGAACAGTGTGAAGGATGTCAAAACAAACAACCTGGCACATGTCAACATCAATGCCTTCCCAACAAAGCTTTTCAATACCAAACAGCCCTAATGCCTTAGCCCTAGTGACAAATTGCCAGGTGTCTGCTTCATCTGTCACTTGTTGACGGATGTGTGATAGATTGTTGAGGATCCACTGAGAAGTGCGAGCATTCTGCTCACATGGGCTGTCTAAATTTGCATGGGTGGTAAGGCATTTGGCACAGGCACCAGGACTGAGGCCCAGAATGGTCCACAATTCATCCATATCAGCAATCCAACCAGCCAGTATAGCAGCACACTTCTGTGTATAGCCATCTGGATCAAGTGCACGGTACAGTAGGGCAGGTTGGCCATATTGACGCAGGGGCTCCAAAATAATAGACATACAGGAGTGAAACAGCTGCCTCCGCAGGATCCCAGGCATATCACGCTCCTCTGTAACTGTTGAGAAGTGGGTGCACTCAAACTTGGGTGATGGGATCTCTGCAAGAAGGATGTATGCATTCTGTTTAATTTTCCGCCTGACAGATTTACGGATGTTGCCCAGGGTCATAAGAACCACATGCATGGATTTGTCTCCAGAATAGTTGGTGAGGTGGGTCTTATCAGATGCAAGGATGATGGTGTGGAGGGTTGCATGTTTGGGGAGCTTCCTCTACAGAAATATCAGTCAGTCAGTCAGTCAGAGTATGTTGTTAGATGACATACCTCCTCCTTGACCCATAGGTCACCAGAGTTCATTTCACAGTAAATTCTATTGAGCCCTTCACAGTCATCTATATACCCTTCCTTCGCACCCTCAAAATACTCTGCTGCTGAGTAAAGCATGTCCCCACTAAAGCTGGGATCACCAAACAGGAATTTTGTGCATTCAAGGATATCCTGATGATAGAACTCCTGGGGCTCATCTGGTGCATCTGGGAGTGTGATTGAGGTGCTGTTCCAGTGAGGGCCTTGTGGTAGATGTTTCTCTATGATTTCAAACAACTTTTGTGCTGTAGTAAAGGAGAGGGAAAGGTCATGTATCTATGTGTGGATTATATCATTGAGTCAAGAAATTCAGAAGGTTGTACATAAGACATGTTGCATACTGACAATTGGAAGTTGCAGGAAAGCATTGATGGTCCCTTGTGACAGCTTTGAGAGTACTAGCCATTCCACAAGTTGGAACTCATGAGCAGATTTCCATGGAGCATATGGATTCCTGGAATCTAAACCCATTTTAGTCCTGTACTCATACCATCGAGTTTCCATGGGATCTCCAAAAGTGGCAGCAGCTGTGGGATCTGATCTTACAAAGTATTCTCCATCCTGAGGGTTGGGGTAAGGCTGCCTTGGATCTTCTGGTGGGGATTCTGATGACATTAAAAGCTTGGAAGCTTAATGGATTGAGAATGACAGCTTGGAGACTTACCCATTGCATCCTGGCCAAGATCCATGGGAGTAAAAGATGCATTGTCTAATGCTCCATCATCACTCTGTGTGGTTGGACTTGGAGCTTGAGAGAAAGTTGGCACTTCAAGGCCATCAACCAAAGTGCCAAGTGCACTACTTCCCTCAACCAATGGCAATCTGGAGTTGTGTAGCTGGCCAAGATTTATCAAGTAGTTAGATATGCATGAGATGAGACAATGCATGGACTAGTACATTATGAGAAGTGGGTGAGCCCTTGGAGGCCTGAAATTGGATGTGTGTCATTTTCTCTTGGGCTCTTTACACTGTGGACTTTTGCCAATGTGAATATTCAAGCCAGTCTGGCCCTTGAGCTTGGAGAAGGAGCAGTAGGGACAACTGAGAGTACTTTGAGTATTGCTCATTGGCTGATGATGGTCCAAGTAGCTTGTCAGGAGTTATGTGTTAAGAGGGGATCTAGTGAGGGACAAGCCCCTCACCACACAAATATATACTACCTGTAAAGAATGTACTAACTTCTTAATCAGTCCATTGGGCTAGGATCAGATGGGATCAGTAGATGATAGGATCAGCAGGCCTGGGGACCAGATCAGACAAGAAGGTGATGATCATGCTGGCATCACATCATGATACTGTTGCCCCACACAGCCAATAGCATACCCTGACATAGCTGGCCTCCCAGATCAGGCCTCCTGGTTATGGTGGTGGTAGGCTGGCAACAGTGGAGGCAGTGGTTGTCAGGGACTTGTCCGGGGTCGAGGGGGCCTGGGTGTAGCATCTGGGACTGAGAGCCTGGCGGGGGGCGGATCGGGCGTGCATACTGACAGGCCCGATGCGGGACAGTGGTCCCTGGCCACTTAGACTGAAGTGGAAAGTTGAGAAGAAGGCTACTTCTTCGGTTCCCACTTCAGGTTCGTTTATATACATGCAGCTTGGATCACATGATGGGTGCCACGTCACCCTTGCACACAGCCGTAACCACCCGGGTATCTCCGTGGGAGATCCCGAGGGCATCCAGTGCAGGCACGCGTGCTGGGCACAGCGGGAAGTCGCCCAAGGTACCCGGGCCGGGTACATGGTGGGCGCGCTGCAGATGGGTCAATGGTACATTGATACAGAGAAAGTCGTCCATGTAGAATAAAGAGAGAATAAAGAAGAAGTAGGATAAGGAGAAGCTGAGGGGGGAAGGATGAGAGGGAAAGAAGGGAAAGAAGGGAAAGGAAGAGGAGGTAAGGAGGGGTGGACCAGTGGGGTACCGGGTCAGGTTGGGCCGGGTGGAGCCGGGTCAGGTGGGTGTGCCCTGACAGTGGTCCAGCTGATGGTAATGACAATGATGATGCTGACACCTGTCAGAGACCAGATTCAGGATGAACAAAAGCAACTCTGTGTTTGGAGGGCTACAGCCTCAGCGACTCTACCAGGAGTGCTGTGCCCAGTAACATGTTGGTGCCCTAATTTGCAGACTGGGGAGTCTTCTAGAAAGGGGGGTTGATTTGTTCACTAAGGTGTATGGTATCTACAAGTTATGTATATATAGATACAGAGGGAGTCTAGGCAGTGGGCCCATAAGTGGCAGGGGCCAGGTGGAGCTGACCTAACAGGGTCAAGGGTTAGCTGACTGAATGATACCAACAACTTGGGTTACAGGGTTAACAGATTATATCCCAGAAGTGGAATGGAGGGAGCGGTCCAAAGGTGGACTTGCAGGGTAGGCAACTGAATGACCCAGCAGGGGCAGGGATGTGCTTGTGGATGTTGGAGCTGTCTGGAGACCTTCAGGGTTCCGTACTTCGGCAGGTGTAGGTAATATATTGAAATGGGTGGGTGGTGCCCATCAGGGGAGTCAGAGGAGATTGCAGGATCCAGGGGCTCCAAGTGTCAGAGTCCGCGTGTCTATTCGCAGCGTAAGAGTATCCCCAGGAAACTAGTCAATATCAAAGCTGGGGGGCTAGCCCAGCTGGCATAGTAGCCTTATGTACATGAGTTCTGCTAACTCACGAGAGTGCAGTTACATTGGGAAGATGGTAACTGATAGAAGCACGACATCAAATAGGAAGATAGAAGATGCAGGAAATGAGGGAATATCGGGTAAGGGGTGACATGATAGCGAATATAGTGCAATGAGTTATATCTGCATTCTAACTACGTAATTATCTCACGCAATCTCGGCTAATGATTACATCATTGATATCGCTTAGAGTAAAGGGGGGCCAGATAACCAGGCGTCCCCTGACACCAAGGTTGGAGATGGTGGAGTGGAGGCAATCCAGGATGGCTGGAGGTGATGGAAGGTGGTGGCAGTGGATGTATATGACAGTATCCCCTTCTTAGGCCTGAACCCATGAAGGCCCATAATTAGTAAGGTAAGGAGAACTGCAATTACAAGTAAAATAAAAAATAAAATAAAAATGAGGAAAAGGAGAGATGGGAAAGGGATTAGGATTCCTAAGGAATGTCAAGTCCAAGCTTGGCTGGATACTGAGAGTGGAATGCCTCAACAAGGTCGGAGGCGTGATTGAGTTTGCTGGCCAGGAGCCATTGCATCTCCTCATCAGTCCCTTCATAACCTAACTGTCATATCCATACATACTTAATCCCAATTCAACTTCTGGACCCTCCACTTCACCACCTCCAGAGTCCTACTCTATCCCCATCCACTCTGATATCCACCTTTGGATGTGATGTCACTGTCAGGGATGCATCTGGGGTCAAGGGGGGCCCAGATGTAACGCCTGGGACTGAGGTCCTCACAGGGTGTGGGGCGGGCACATGTACTGACAGGCTGGATGCGGGAGGATGGTCCCTGGCCACTTAGATTGAAGTGGGAATAGTGAGAAGATTCAGGTTACTTCTTCAGTTCTTACTCCAGGTACATTTATGTACATGCGGCTTGGGTCACATGAGGTTTGCCACATCACCCCACATACAGCTGCAGTCACTCGAGTGTCCCTGTGGGGGATCCCAAAGGTGTGTGCTGGGTTGCACCATGAAGCCATCTGGGTCATCCAGGGCTAGGTGTGTCATGTGCTCATCATGGGTGGGTCAATAATACATAGAGATGGGGAAAGGTTGTCCATGTAGATAGAAATGGAACAAAGAGTAAAAGGAATGAAGAACAGTGGTGGAGGGTGGGGAATAAGGATAAGTGGGGAACCAGGTGAGGGCAGGTGGAGCCAGGTTGGGCAGGTGTGCCCTGACAGTCACCTCCTCACCTCACTCCTCTCCTTCCGTCCCTCTCCTGCCAACCGCCACCAAGTTACGACCTTCCACTGCCATTGTAGGAGTGCATAGCAGGTGTGCTCAATTTCATGGAACCTTATGCAGCAAATATGTCAAAATTGGGCTCCCGCCCTTGTACATTGTTAGGAAAAAGGAATTATAGGGGGGAGTAATAAAAAAGAAGAAAGAGGGTTTTTGTACGAACCAAAAGAGCCTTTCCAGGTTGAGATTTGGTAGAGAAATCCAACCTGAGATGTCCTCATATGCAAAGTCCGTGCATTTGACTGCGACCATGGGAACAAGGTCAAAAGTTGACGGAAGAGGACGATCTTGGGGTCATTAAATCCAGAAAAATCCCCAAAGACTCAGTGTTGAATTTCACCCTAATCGGTTCAGTGGTTGTGGAGATATTCTGATTATTGGACATGATGGGAGTCATGGGATGATATGAACTATGCAGATGCTCATGTGCAAGCTGGTCTCAGTGAAATTCCAAGAGAATACAGGCTAGTCAAATGATATAAATGCTAAAGAAGTCATTGGAGGAGTCTTGGAATTATTTGGTCCAAGTTTCCCTGTGCATGGATAATCAAGATATGTATTCCGCATCTGAGAATTCCTGTTCTCAGTCAAATCTCCACCAAATTTCACAAAATCGGTATTGTTAGAAAGCTATGGATGAGGAGAGTCAAATGAAATAAAGGGACGGAGTTTTGATGCAATATTGGGAGTGGTATAAGGAAGTTGGTGTTTAACATTTCATTCTTCTCTTTGTCGTATGGGAATTTATTCAAAGCCAATGGTAACCGAGCCTTATCACCGTTATTGGTGAAGGCTTGGCTTAGCTGAACCATATATTTTGGACTTCTGGGCATGTTTTCTTGCCACCTTACTTGCTCATTTCTGATGCATCTGCGATGTTATTGATCGTTTAGGTCCCTGAATTCCTCGTCTTATCATTGGTCAATTACTACCACTAGCTTAGTATCCACCTCCATTCAACACTCATTTCTGTCTGTAACATGGAACTACTACGACATCCTTACCATACCTATTCCTTGTCGATTTCAGTCACTAGCAAGTACTTCAGTAGTTGTACTGCTAGGTCATGAACCTCCAAAGCTAGATGCTTCATCACTGCAACTCTGTTCTTCCATTAGCCTTCAGGCTTTCTGGCGATTCCATGTGCTCCTTGGAGCTCCCGGTATTCATCATTCTAACATTTTCTACATGCTTTTGCCATGGATTCTTATTTTCTTTATATTCTCATATGTGTCATATCCATTCCCAGCCATCGACTTCCGATCCCTCCAATCCCTCCGGTCTACCTCCGCTCCTTCTTCACTAACCTCAGAGCTCCCGTATTCCGCAATCCCCTCGGTACC